GTCACCCTACCCGTGAACAATCTCCCAACTCATCTCTCGTTTCGCCGCGGCATCCGGTCCCTTATCCATCGCGCCGGTCGCGAACGCCCCCTACCTGAACCGAGCCTGTCCGTGCGGGTACCGGAAGTCGGGACCCGAGGGGATCGACGGCGGACGTCATTTGGAAGCGAAACTTCCTTTTCCGTTTTCTCCTACGCCGCGTAGTTTTCGAGTTACGCCCCTCCAAAGAACCGACCAATCAGAGCGCAGCATTCTTGTTTCCGCTGTATCTCCGAAACCACGGGTCGTACAAAAAAACGATAAAAAAAGTTTCGCCGTGGATTCCAGCCCCCTATCCATCGCCCCGGCCGCGAACGCCTCCTACCTGAATTGGTTCAGGACAGGAACGGACAGGTTTGGACCTGTCCGTTCAGGACAGGAACGGACAGGTTTGGACCTGTCCGTTCAGGTACCGAATGTTGCGATCATGGGGTTCGACATCGGACGTCATTTGGAATCGAAAGTTCCTTTACCGTTTTCTCCTGCGGCAAAGAATATAGTGAATTCTTTGCCTGCGGTGCGTAGTTTCCGCGTTACAACTTGGTTAGGGTGGGTTGAGATATATTTGAAGGATAAGAACGGGTTGGCAGAGTTAACCAATTAGGACCAGTTAGATCTGACGTGTGGGTTACGACGACGCGATGGAATTACGCTTCATTAGGATCCGATTTGCAATTAGCTGGGTTAGAGCCTGATGTGCAGTTAAGCATGCTCACGTCATCGGATTAAGTTGAGTTAGGACGATACATCGTGGCAAATCCTATTGAAACTAAAAGTTCCTCTGCAATTTTTATATGCAACACTTACTTCCGGAGTTATTACGGTTTAAAGTCGACTAATCAGAGTGGGATTTCTCAGTTATTGGAAGTTCTTACTGCGCAAGGATTACATATGCTGTAGCATGTTTGAAGAAGCTGCCCTGTTTTGTATAAATAACTACAACAAGCCAACTGTGTTTATACCTGTACCATATAGTACCGGTTTTAATTTATATTTTAGATGTCCAAATGTAATTGCGTAATCAAATTACAACACTTCTCCCATGAGGATTGCTTTCAGTTAACTTGGCAAGTATTCAGAATCAGAATTTTTTGACCCATAGAGTGGAAACTGATGCTACTTTGCAATAGAATCATAAGAAATTAAATTTCAGTATCATTCAGCAATCTGAAAGCTACCTAGCGGCCAGCCAATAGGCACTATTAAATATCACACATCACATATTTCAGAAACCATTCTTCTGATTAAATTTAATATTTTAATTTAGAAATTTATAAATAACTACATTTTAATCTGTATGCTCATGCTGGGCATTGCTTTCACGCCAGGTATTTTGTATGAGCTCTACAAATTGCTGCCAACAGTGACTTTTAGAAATGAAATACAGAGCACAGGCAGCAATAAAAATCCATGATAGAACCAAACAGTAGTCTGTCTCATTGGAAGGTGTGCTTGATACTGGACCACTGAAGTCAGCTGACGTTACATATAAAGATCCATTTGGTTCAAGAGAAGTCATTCGCGTAATAAATCGTGAAAAAGCTTCCAGCGTGTAGACTGTATCATTAAACTTGGCTACAGGCTTCCCTTTGTGAACAAGCATCAGTGTGGGTACTCCAACGATACCATACTGGGTATTAAAGCTGAAAATATTTCTAATATTTAGGAGCACATAAAACAAACTGGTATATCAAGGAATTTCGAGAAAACTTTATATTTATATATATACAGTGCTATTCAGCCTCGCAAACAAGAAATGCATGGCCGTAATCTCCAATTAATTGTGAAAAAGAATATCTGATGCAAACTTGTGTCAGACTTGTAATTTCAAGAGTACAGTGGTTCAAAGTTGACCAATCACCAAGCAGAATTAGTTGCCAAACAGTACAAGTATAAACATCCCATAATTTGTGTTATCTTCAAAGTGAAACTCACATGTCAATGAGCTGGAATGTTTGTGACCTGGAATTCAGATTCTGTTCTAACATGATAAAATTCAAGAAACTCGAGAATAAATGACATGTCAATATTTACTAAATGTAAATAGTAATGCACAGGTAACTGGACGATTGTACCGTCACTACTCGGCGACTAAATCTGGTTTATAATCGATCAACTTTAAACAATTCCACTTTTGAAATTACAATTTGGATTCAAGTTTGCATTGGACATTCTCTTGCAGAATTAAGCCGAGATTATGTCACATATTTCTTGTTCACGAGGTCTGGAACGCCCTGTATATATAGCATTAAATAAATTCCATTACCTCTGATATTTTATTGCATCAATGGCTACAGCCTTAATATGTGGAAAATACCTTGGCAAGGCATTAAATGCTGGAGCTGCGTGACTACTAAAGACACACCATCTAGCATAAAAGAGTACTAACACACAAGTCCCTGGAAATTGTTTATCTTCCTTGCTATTTCTGCTTCTATTGGAAGGTCCTGGCTCCAAAATTAACAGTTTCATGAGCCTTGTAGCATTAACAAGCTAAGGCAATAAATTTCATCTTAAATAATATCTCCATGTAATGTAATCTTTTAAGATTAGACATTAAACTTTACCTCAACGGGGCCATATTCCTTATCCATTATGCAGTTCACCCTCGTCATATTCGTGGTAATTGTACTTTCAGATGTAGAGTTATTCTTAATGTCCGCACGTTCCACGCTTGCTTGAGACAGCTCTGTCTGCTGAGGGACATGTTTCATATCGTTAACAAGTTCGGTGTGATTACTTATATCGCTGGAGCGATTATCTACGTATGCAATAATTCCTTTGGGAGGAAGTTCTTGACGTTCGACTACATATTCAATCACTCCTGGAGGCTCTTGACTGCCTACTAAACCTCGTAAAGGATGGACTAAAATCAATAAATAAACACTGTTGATTATTTGGACCATATTTTGGTTTCCAGTTCAAAGTTTACACGGCCGATTATTAAATGAAAGTACCTGAAATAATAATAAATAAGACTGTTCCGAATCTACCCAAAATGTTCATCTTCTGCACATAACCAAAAATCAAGAAGCTTCCACAAGCCTTAACTATACATGTATGGACTGCTAGCAGCAGAGATGAGTTGGGAGATTGCTCACGGGCAGGATCGCGCGATCGCATCCTATGCTGCCCTCTGGTTTCGTACGTTAGCTTTCACCGTTTTTTGCCCCCAAGGGTTGCGCAACGATTTTCTGGTAGGGGCTCGCGCACTCGCGATGGCCGTACCATCTACCAGTCGCCGTTGGTGGCTCGCGTATTCGTGATGGTAATACCATGCGGCAGTTGACGGTGGTGGCTTACCTACGCTTATCGACACTGCTCGCTTTTGATGGTAAGAGAAGAACACTCGAGGCACCCTCTTTGACCTTACCCTTCGCATACCTTATTTATTTTATTCGCAAATGTTATTACATACAGAAAAATACATGGCAAAACTACAACGTGGGTGCTCGAGAGTTGTGTGATACTTTATGTACAATTTTTTGAAGCCACGGAAATTAATGAAAAAATAATGAATGTTTCCTAGGGAACACGTAAAACCTACATGGAAGGATACCCAACGCATAGCTCACGTAGTCGGTATGACGTTAGGTGTTACGTACGTGTCACGAGTTCAAATTCTGAAGGGAAGGGAGGTACGGTTTTTCACGCAAATTTCTTTCCTCACGTTTTACGATTCGTTGCAATCACGCAAAATACATTGCAGTGAATCACTCATGCTTTACTAAGTGAATTACTCGTGCTTTATTAAGTTTTGAGATTGGTCTGATTTTGAGCAGGCTGAGACGACGAGCCAATTAGAACATCTGATCGGCTCGCCTTATTAGTCCTTTATCTTGTAAACTGTCCGACTCTGTGTGTGCAAAGATCTCTTAAAGAAATAACGTTAAAACAAATGAAGAAGTGGCCCATGAATCAAATAAGTATCCAAATTAATTTCCAGTAAGCAGCATGGATTGTCCGAAGCTAACCCGGCACCATAACCTGCTTTGTTCCATAACAGGGCAGCCAGCAAGAAAATAAACACCATATGCGGCGAGCTTGAAGCTGCGGTTTGGATACTCACTTGGTTAAATTAATATCCTCAGGTACATGATCACATGTGTATATCCGAGTATTAATATACTGTTTAGGCATACGTTATACGACCATAACGATTGAAACGGTAAAACTTTAGTTGATAGTTATGATACAATATTGAAAAATATACAATAGATGTTTTCAGTTAATTACACTTTCCATGTTAAATGAATTCTAATGTTTACAAGTACAAGTTTAATATATATGTAAAAATAATAATGAAGTCTATAAAAAAAAGCGTTTCGGCTTTCTTACACTAGAATACTTTGGATCTCTTACATAGTAAAAATTATTTTACATGAAGTTGAAATATCAATCAACATATCACATTCGATTACATGTCATAATTACTTTCAGGCCTTAACTGGTATTTATAAAAATGTCTTAATACTATAATTGTTGTGACTCACAATTAATCTGTCTTAATAATACAAGATACAAGATACAAGATGGCTAAACTGATTCCTGTTTCCATGTTGTACCTTTCAAAAGCGATATACTGATGCTTTAAGACGCTCTCATGTAATTATACTACTTTTAGAAGGAACATATTGTGGAAAAAGGTAGTATAGTACAATAGCAGTGAAATTCTTCTCACAAGGCAATCTTTATAATCCAGAATTTTGTTCTATTTGCATGTGATTTCTGTCTCAAATGCAGATGGAACTTCATTCACTTTTTGATAGGAATCAAAGGATATACACATTGTGCTACTGATTCTCAATGCATTAAACAAATTACCTAAGTCTTGATGTAATTACTTCTTCACACTTAAATGCTTAGAAAACAAAACATTTTAGTAATAGCAAATGTAATCAAATTAATATCTATTTTTTCAATTCTATCTACCTACCAATTATAATAATTAGAATATCTCTGTATATCCGTATTGGATAAAGTTTCATATATAAAAGAAATTAAAACTGCATATTAAATGCTTTATCCAGAAAGGGTTAATACTTCTAACTAATTATAATTTCAGTTTTTGGGAATTGCAATTGATTGAATGAAGAAAAAATTACAACAGTACTTGCACATATTAAATTACTTCAACACATCCAGCATCGTTTTAAAGACCTCTTTTGTTTATGAAGAAAGAATTTGATTTTACGTATTTCATGATATGCATTCACTTCTGTTTCGTAAAACTATAAATAAAAACTATTATGCAGTTACGTGGTTTGTCATCCGATTAGAAGTTGCGCACAATACATCGCAAGAGCTACCCAATGGCTGGCAAATCCCAACTGTGACCATTTGTCCATAGTGTGAGAGTAACTATAGCCAGTCTCTTGTTGGTCAGAAACATCAAACATGAGGCCCAAATAACTTAAATGAAAAATAGTTAATGCAGAGAAGGAAAGATTAGTCACAACGACCCACAACGAATTACGTATTTTTGAATCGTGTGTACACTTCCGATCTGTACATGACTTTGCTGCTACGCAAGCATTGAAAGTATAGGCTAAAGTGTGTCGCAACTGAAATTCTATGTACGTATAAAATCCTAAACTAAGTAGAACAGCAGCCAGCTGGAAGTTCAGTCCATGCAACAGTGAACTGGTTAAATAAGTAATTATCACAGCTCCAAATCTTCCCAAGCGTGTCCTGCAGGGACGGAATATGTCTGTACAAATCATCGAATAACAATAAGAAAAACATTACAAGACTGTGTGGAAAAAAATATGAAACATTGAACGCACATGTCTTTAACCAGAAATGCATGGGATTGTTCCATGAAACCACTACTTGAACCAAAGATCGTGGTAATTCTATCTCCATTGGTTTAGTTATTTTTACCAAGGACATAGGGTATCCTCCTAGCAGCATTATTGTTGATGCAGTATATGAAATAAAATAATGCGATGTTCGAAATGATAATGCATCTCGATATGCCAAAAGCCACCTGAAAAAAAAAAAAGATTGAGAATAATTCAGAATCGAAACATAAATTTAACAGAAGAAAAATATAATATGTAAGATCATAAAACCTTGTTTTAGATAGTGTAAGTAACCATCTAATTAATATTATTTCAGAAAATATGTACTCATTACTCACAAAATTTACTTCTTCTTCGACATGCCTAATAAAAAATCGTAATACAGTATGCCCACTTAGCTAGGGACTAATCACATTCCACCAGACATACCATAAATTAAATGGAATTTAGAACATATTTCATGATTTTTCATGTTGAACAAAGGTAAATCGAAGCAAAATTTATTTGCAAATAATGAATAACATATCATGAAAATGATTTTCAATCATTCCTTTTTTTTTCAAAAGATTTGTATGAAATAATTTAGAATAAGCTGTTTTGAAGGAAAGCAAAGAAGTACATTTTTTATTTTGTTAATTTTTCTCTCTTTATAAATATATATCATTATTTCTTACTTGTTAGAATTGTCTGAGAAAATCCACTGAGTGATGCAGTTTGAGGTTATCAAAAAAGTCAGAGATGCTAAAAAATATCCAATAGTTTTCGATATTGTAGGAATGTTCTGAAAAAGAAAACCTAATCAATGAACAGTGAAATGACTCAAACATTAAAAAATTTAGAAGATATACCCAATAATTCTTCTGATAAAGATCGATATAATTTTTAAATGAAATCCATGGTCCGAATAGGCAAGTCGCAGCACCAAACATGTATCCCAAATATTCGTAAAATGAAGGTAGACTTAACGAATCTGTATTATCAATTGCTACACTAATACCCTTCATTGCCCCAATCATAACGATGCTGCGCACTTTGTGCCATGAGGATGGTTCCATTGAAATCTCACTAAAAATTATATAAATTATTTATAAAACTTTCTACATACAGTAAGACCTGATAATTATGTACTTAACGATACATACCAATACACGATCAAAACCAGACTTGGTAAAAATACACCGAATCCCTTATGATATTTCTCAGGTATGTGTAAAAATATGTAAGTTACTCCCATTAGTACTACTAATATGCACAGACATTCTGGAGCATAGTTTCGTATCACAAATACTCCGATAACGATAGAGAGTATATGAAAGACATTGTATGGCATATATCCTGCGAATATGCACAGAAAAAAAAAAACATTTTAAAAACCGTGCAACTAATTTTGAAATGTGTTGAAACTTACGCGATTGAGCAATCAATTTAAATATGATAGATGCCAAAAATAAAGGTAGCATATAATACAAAGTATCGGAAATTGTCGGTCCCAGACAGTATTGGCATAAATCCGAGAACGTTCCTTCTGGCTCCATGTCGTAATCGTAGGAATCTTGATAGTGATATTGAATATCCTGATAATCGAGACCATCGCAATCTGCATCGTCGGTGTCGCAAACCATGCCGTCAACTGTCAAATAATAATTAAGAAATGGGACGAAAAGATACGCGGGTGCGTGTACGGGTGAGTACGGGAATATCTCACACCGCACGGAAAATCGAGACGCCCGAGTCTCCCTGCTCTCAGCGCCAAATCGGCGGTGAGCCGGCGTAACATTTTTAAACGGGCGGAAACCGTTGCCAAAGAACGTATTACAGTTTTCATGGCAGTACATACATGCATTCACGCCATTCAAGTTGCGGTAGAACTGGAACTTTTGCTGTGTGTGCGCTATGAATGTGAGCCCTGACACTCACGCGTTACTTGGAGCCGTAGCTTGCTTGCCGCCACGGCTGATCGGAACGCACGAAATTTCCCGGGGACGATACGCTACACGGTCGCTTCATGCGTCCGTACGTGAACACCACGCACATGTAAATGCTCTGCGTGGCGCTTCGGAGCAATAATGCATGCGTGTATCTACGTATGTATGTACACACGTATATACTGTCCATTGCTACGTGAGGGAAAGCCGCCATCGGGTACTGCTGGATGTTGCTACCATCGCGAGTGTGCGAGCCGCTCGAATTTTCCACCGAGGGCAGCACAGAAACGTGACGCGCAATCCTGACCGTGAGCAATCTCCCAATTCATCTCTGGTCGTCCATGGATGCCGCCATATTGCACTTTTCTTACAATTGTTTTCTAGGACGGTGGTAAAGTGTAATGAATCGAGTGCAGAGTAGTCGCGCCATCAGCCCGACACTGACAAGCTAAACATGATACACTGGCACTGGGCGCACTGCGTTGATCAGTTGAACACGTTTAGTGGTGCAATTGTATGTATGTATGTACACACACCAGTGCAGCTCGGAGTAACCAACTGAAAACGATATAAAGCCCGGTTCCACGACTCGAGTTAATCAGAATTTAACTGGTTTACAGCAAATTTAAACTGGATATAAATTAGTTAAACTTTGGTTAACTCGAGTTGCGAAACCGGGCCTAACGAATACTCCGTTTTATGCCAGTGGTAAAAATCCGGTGTAATAACGTTAAGCTTCTTTGGTAAGCCGTAGTATCGTAACCAAACTGGCTTTAGAAGAAGGTGTAAACAGACGCAGCGTAACAACAGTAGTATTGCCAACTATTTTCAGAAGGTTTTAATTGTAAACTATCTAAACTGAGTTGTATGAATGATGAAAAACGACAAATCACGACCGTAAAAATAGATTTAAGAAAAAAGAGATAATTGGGGAGTCAATGAAACGAGCCATTTCTGAATCATGAAAAATATGAATAGAAAATAATTTCAGGCAATTAACAGATTCACGACGGATGACGTAATATTATGCCGCAATCACTACGCCACCCGTCGCGAATCTGTTAACATATCGACATGATATTAAGGTCAGTCATTAAAAAATGTGTGGAACAAAGACTCGAAATCACTATAGTCATGCCATTTATCGTAATGAATAATTTATTTATAAATATTTCGATCCGCAAGCTTACCAGCCCGTTTTGTCAAAGATGGGAGAGATAAGACGGCCCCATATTTTACCTGGCAATCGATTTAGGTCAATTTTGGGATACACCGCGTTTGAAAGTTTGACTTAAGCAAACGATAACTCGTGACATTTTACGATCGCCATTCATCGGGTTGCCGTAAGAGCGTTTCTATGACTGATAAATGTTTGCGTAAGGATCAGATTCTAATATGGAAATAACACTAAAGAATTGTATAGTCACGCGTAGAAAAAAGGTTCGTCGATTAGAACAAAGTCTCCGTTACTTAATATACCAATATCAGGATCATGAAATCAGCGCGGCCCTAGTTCGCTCGTCTGAAAACCTTGCTCTTTTACGCAATTTTAGCGCTTATTAAAGTTTGCTCGCGAATGAAACGAAGCCCATATAACCTACCTAATTTAGCGAGTAGCATTTTCGAGTGGGGGCCACTCCAAGAGAGGAGGCAGGGTTCTATTGACAGCGGTTATTGCCTAACTGCGTACCTCCACCTAATATGCCCGCTCGTGAATCTGCATACAGGGCCGCTTGAACGAAAACTGCGAGCAGCCTCGCCAATCCTTCGTGCCCCAAATTGAGGAAGGCATTACGTTATGAGTGCTTACTTTTTTCACGGTATCCTTCCTATGCCACTTATCTCTAAAACACTTTTCATTTGTGCGCTCATTAGAATTATGCCTATTGTAACGATATGAAAAACCGTATATGAAAAAATGGACGTTTACGCTCATGGAAAGTATGCGAATTACATGAAAACATTCATCAAGCCTTATAGAGATATGCATTTCAGACTGTACAAATGTTTTCTGGGGGGGGGGGGGGAGATTTGACGTACCCGAATTTTTTCTTTATGATGCAAATCTTGAGAAGTGTCAAATCAAGAGCTTTTCTGTCAATTTTTACGGAATCCATACTTCTCGAAACGTTCAACAATGCGGTTGACTATTCATCGGTTTACCGAGTACTAAAAGTTTGGAGATGTATCCCTTTAAAATATTAGATATAAAAGTTTGATGCGTGTACAATGTCTAATGATTAGCTTGACGGTTTCACAGCTAGTTTCAATATGGTACAGTGTTTCTTATAGACGCATATTCTTTAAGTTATTATGCCCATCACAGAAATGGCTAACTTGACGTTGAATTTATCGTAAACTGCGTATATTCTGAGATTATGGACGATAAATTTACTTCTTGGACTTTTCAGTAACATCTCACATAATAAGCATGGGTGGCCAACCATTAAATCACTTTATGTACGTTTCAAGAGAATATAGAGTACACTGACGAGTCGTTTTCCTTATTGGACTCATTCAAGTTTTGATGTTCTGAAGATATTCTTACGTGATTAATAAAATATTACATTTAGATTTATATAAATTATTCGTTACTTTCAGCTTTTATACGTTGGTAAAATTGTGGAAATGACCGTCTATAAATAAAAGTAACGGATCGATAGTTTTCACATCGAGGATCGAAGTGAGGTTTACTTACAATTTTTCAATGAAGTAATATCACACGGAAATGGAAATAATGTCATTCTTAATGACGTTTGTCCGTCTGTGTAATTTATCACAGCTTTTATTCCTTAACGCAAAGTTTAAACAGGAAATACCATTTTAATACCTTGATTCTCGTGGGTAGGTCTATGAATTTGAATTGCCTTTCATGAGAATACAGTGTAGGAGAATTTATAACAATTGTGACAATATAAACTGAAAAATATTGAACTTTTTGCGTCCTAGGATAAAGGGTTTCTCGAAATCAATACGCGTAAAAACGTGGAGTAATTGATGTACATCATTAAATGTAACACGACGGCATCAATGCTCGGACGATACATTTCGTTCCTTGGAAATATCCCTTGCAAGAGTGTGACTTTCTGCACAAACTCATTCGATATCGGATACTTTTTCGTTTCCGTCATACGTCACGAACGTCGGGCAAATTACGGCCCTGGCTGCATTTGAAACTCTGTTAACTCTCCGAATATTAGCTCGTCGAGCGAGATTAACCCCATTGTGCCCCGTTGAAAATGATGACATCACTATTAAACTCCCGTCGGCTTACGGAAATTGATTAAACTATCAAATTAGCTCTACTAATATCAACACGTCGACGTTGAAGCCGTCTGGCTTCGAGGCCCGATAACGTGAATCTACACATCCACGTAATATGTTCGCCGTGTATTCGCAATCTGATCTACGTTTAAAGTCTGTCTTAAACTCACCGAACGACTCTTGAAAGATTTTCTATCTTAATTCATAAGGAGATAACCGATACGACGCAATTGTATTCCTCCAAGCTCTTGAGCAGGGTTTGCAGACAGACATGATGTGAAACTGAATGAATACGTGGTACACCGTTTTCTTTCAAGGCACAATTGTAACACATCCTACAGTTTCATCTCCTTATTGCGATACACTCTATACCGTACGGACTAGAAGAGTACATGTAATAAAATTGATGATCGCAAAGTACACTCGCTAAAAATGGGTACAAAAGTACATTCACTATAAATAAATAAATAAATAAGTAAATAAACCCGAGAAAAAATGTATTGTAATTTTGTCCATTTTCACCCTTGAAATGGCGACTATACGTTAATTTGTATTACTAGATACGCATTCCACGTCCGTTTCTACATTCATTACATCGTCTGCATATACGTACGAATGCGCGCGATGATTTCGTGAAATTCACAACGCTACCATGATACAAGAAAAGTATCGAATCAATTGTATTAGCGAACAATGAATACCGACGAGTCTTTACAAATGATCTTGTTGTTTTGAACGTACAGGGTGAAATCGGAAAATCTCGTTTCTGAGAGCGTGTATTAAAATGAATTAACCTGTGAATTTGTCGAGAGTGCGTTTTCGGATTTATAACAATGCGAGTATCACTTGATTTGTTCATTCAATTGATTCATTAACGTATCGGGCCGAGAACATTTTTCAAGATACGTTCGATCCACCGAAGTTGATTCGCGTATTCGCGTCGGAATAAGTCAGATAGTGTATGAGTCATGCCGTTCGCTAAGGAATGGGGAGTGCGCAATTCGCGTACCCCAGGAACTATGGAGTGTTAGACGTACTGTAAAGGGAAGTGTGAACAATTTCGCGCATTGTCAGGACTATAATATGGATGGCTGGCAGGATAATTATTGGAGGCCGTTTGAATCTAACTGTTTCCTTCATTAGCAGTCTCAGTTCGCTCGGTTCGCTCTCTGAATTTTGTGCAGAATTACCCACCATTATCATAATTGCGCTATTACTGATAATATCTACGACCCGGCTTCGAAACTTTGCTACGACGCGGCTTAATCCGTTTCTATTTATGGCGCTTTCATCGAATGTCAGCCATCGGATTCATGAAAGGATTTTTCATCCCAATCTCCGTTTCTTGAAAATCGGTTCGCTCGGACTAGGGTTTACTGACGATCCTACTACGATTATAAACCTTATATAATATAATATTTTACCTTGCTTATTATAACCTCTTCGTATAGTTAATACTACCATTCCGAATGTTGATCACTACTGCACCTTTTCAGCGCAGCGCCATGGTACGGTACCTATTGGCAAGGATAATTATGTACAATTTTTTATCCGCGTACTCTTTTTCACGGACATAACGTGAGACGTAACGTAAAAAACATTCATAGCAATTGTTTTATACTAAATAATAAACGTTGAACTTGATTTACAGACAGAATGAAACATTTACATTCGGTTAGACCGAACGATCATATTATGCGATCATCTACTCATAAAAAATTACTTATCCGCGTGTAATTATTCGTCAATTTCCTATATTAATGTTAAAATATTGAAATGTTTATGTTAAATTAACCGTTGCACCTTAAGACATGTCCAGACTTTTAATTAGGTAATGAAAACCGTTTGTAAAGTTCAAGGTTAGATATCGCAAGCTCGGAATTCGAAGTAACAAGTTTCCTCTTACACGAGATGATACATTTGTTGCGACACCTTGCGAAGACCTTTCATTTCCTGTAATTTGTCAGGCTGTTTCAGATGAGCGCGGAAATCGTGTTTGGGAAAATTGGCGAAGTCGACAGTGGCATCGATACATGTTTTCTTCGATGGCAATTAGAGCGCTCAGTGGGTGGCAACCTGCGCGTGACAGTTTTTAGAAGGGTGAAGAATAGAGGGTTACCTCAATGCCGCAAATAAATTCTGAACCTATT